TAATTCCTCATAGATGGGATCTCAAGTCTCAACTCAAAACAAAACCAGCAGTGGCGAAACTATCTTTCATCACCTTCGTAGTCATTGAAAATGCTTCAGAGATAGTCATTTTAAGGCTTCTAAATGCTTTGAAGACTCTAAAGCAAACATTGAATGATAATTGCTTATAAAATCGATTATTAATCCATCTCTAAGCAAATATTGAATGATAATGGGTTTGAGAGTTTGTTTCAAATTATGAACCCTAAAAGGTTCAGAGTTCGACTGTTCGAGTGATTGCATTCTTATACGAATCAACAAAGATTTCGTTTTGACATTGATGATCAACACACGTAAATCAGAATGGAAATCTTTTTTCCTGTCTTAAAGTTAAAAAGTAGGGCTGCAAATCGGGTTTCCCACAGGTGGGCTTGGGTTAGGGTTCGGGCCCATAGAAAATTTAACAAATTTCAAACCCAACTCGGCCCAATGTGTATAACTACTGGTTGAAACTTGAAAGGCACATGCACACACTACATGCTACCCACTTCCAGACACTGACAATTGAAATCACGTGCTCAACTCACCACTTGTCCAAGGCACAATCGGTGCACACGTGTGACAGTTGTACATACAAGCTAGTGGCTTGTTTGGATGATTGTTGGGAGAAGATCCGGTTTTCACATGTAGAAGGTATATGGTTATGGTAGGCTCATTCAAGTCAAGAAACAAAGATGAACTTTTTAAACTTAGGGAGATGTTCCCGCAGTGAGGCTGTGTTGGGAGGCTTGTTGGAAGCGTTTGTTGGAAGTCTCAATCAAAGACAAGAATGAGGTTGAAAAAAAAATATTCGGCCTTGAATTTGCCCAATAACCTTAAAACCCATTACAAACTATATTTGGATGGGCTGAGCCGATCCTGACCGAAGCCCATAGGCCTCATACTAGTTTGTGATGATCCAACCTGAGTTTGGAATTCGAGTCCGAGCCTCAGCTTAGAATGGCAAGCCTTTTCATCAACTGAACTTCTTGGCTCGACTCGTTTGGCGGGATCAGGCCCAATTTGGATTGGCCCTGTCCAAATTGCAGCTGTAGTTGGCAGAGGAAGAGCAACCCCATTTGGGTAAGGATGTATATAATGAGATCAGATCAATTTGTCCTCACAACCCTTGCAGCCGTACATTTAGAATATTTCCGTACTTGTATATAATATATGTTTTAATTCATGGAGAGATGTTCGCAATGCACAGCTGCAAGTGTTGTGAGGAGTAGTGTGTAAGAAAAAATTTGTTAGGGCAAAATCAGGATTCCAATATAATTTGTCCACATAATCATTTCCTTGACATTAAGTTAACAATTGATCCCAATCAGAAAACTAGGGTGTGTTGAAAATTTAATGAAAATTGCTGATATCCACGCTTTGCCAAATTTAGTGAAAATTGCACTACTATTAAGGTTCAAAGTATCGGCACAGGCTGATACGCTGGTGGGGCTTATCACCCTGTATCGGTACTTTTTTTAGGTTTTATTTATTATTTTTTGAAACCAGTTTAGAGGGATTGGTTTAAGGCCCAGCTACCCTCTGAACCAGTGTTTGATGATACAATCCTTGAAGAGGCGTATCGGGAAGTCATCAGCATGATACGTATCGGCAGATATGAGTCAATACATATTGATACTTTGAACCTTGACTACTATTAGGCACTAGCAAATCAAATTCACAAATTTGCACTAACTATTCCAAGTATTAGGGTCTATTTAGATAAAAGATTAGTTGATTTAGATTTTAAGAATTTTCTTGCAAATGGTATTCTGCGTGTAATTCAGAAGAGTGAAAGTTCCAAGCTAGAAAAAAGACTAAGTATCAAGCTTATTTGCAATAGAGTTAGTTTATTTATTTGTTTGGGCACATTTTTCTGCATACGATGTTTTAAGGCCCATATTTTGGCCCATTAGAGATGTTACTAAAAAAGAAGCCCATGCCCATGCCCATTAGACATGTCACATGAGAGTAGTGAACATTTCAAGTTACCCCATTAGTGGTATCCCCCTTAGGTGGTAGATTGTACTTGTACGCTTGAAGGTGTATTCATGGATCTGCTAATAGGTAACCAGCAGATCCGCAGTGATCCAACCTACAATGCACCACTGAAGCTTGGCTGGGTTAAAGTTTATAGTATGGTGATCAAATTAATGGTTTTTGGTCAAGAAGCAGTTTTAGAATGAAACAAAACCGATTAACTGATCAATTCTCAATTTTTCTGATCCAACCATCCGGTCCTGTCCAGTTTTCAAAACCATAATTAAAAGTTACGTATACAGTTAAGAAATTATTTCCATAGACTCTCGTCTTACATATGCCTCAAAATATATCCCAGCTGTGCATTAGAAATATCTCCACATGATAAAAGACAGGAAATATTCCCAATGCACTCTGTGATATGCATGTGGGACACGCTCTATGGGGAGCCCATCTGAACTCCCCACACCCACCCACAGCACAGTGGATTTGCACCTGGATATTTGCTTTGGTAAATCACTTTGATGGTCTTACTTTTTGGATTGATTTGGTATAGTTGAAATCTCGGTACATCTGATATTAAGAGACCACATTAATTGTTAGATCTTTTGAATGATTTGACACCTCATTTTGATGGGTTAAAATCTTGGCACACTATTAGGATGGTTGAGATTAATTGACTAAGGTGCCGTTTGATGTTCTAACAATTAAGATGGCCTAAAGATGTACTGAGTTTTGATGGTCTTGAATTTAAAGATGAAAACCGTTTAATAAATGATTTGGCCTACTGGGCTTTTAAAAATACATTTAGAGGCTATTTATCAGGTGGAAAGATTGGAAGTTTCATTTAAAGCTTTTTTTGGTACTTGTTGTCTTTTCAAATGTTTTCCATCTTTACAGCTTTTGGATTCCAAACAAACAAACAAAAGAAAAAAGAGCAATATTTTATTTTCTAAGCTTGCCGAAGTCCAATAAACTGTGTAGAAAGACTTTTCAAACACCGCCTAGAGTCCATTTTGATGGTTTGGATATTAGACTTATTAAGTAAATTATGTAATTGAGATTACTTTAAAAACTAAGATTAATTGAAATCTTGATTGATACATTACTTGGGTAGGTGAGATTGATTAACCTTAATTAACTTTTTTTTTTTTTTTTGCTGGTTAAGGGGTTAGGATTTGGTTGAGAGAGAGACAGACAGGGTAAGGAATGAGCACTAGAATGGGAGTGATTTCGTGTTTTGGGATTTGGGTTTTGTGTTTTAGAGCTGGACCAATGGTGTGAAATATGTCATAAACCCGATGTTGAAGTGAAACCGTTAATTTGATATTTAAATTTATTAAGACGATTAGCTTAGAGGTGTAAATCGGGCCGTGTCACTCATCGCTTGGCACGAATTTGGATCAGCCCGGTATGATGGTCCACAAGCCATGGCAGGTTCGACACGATCATGCGGGCTGTGCTGGGCCTAGGGTTTTAGGTGCACGAGCTGGCACGGTACGATACAACCAACCGAGTGGCACGGCACAACTCAGCACGGCCCACGACATAGCCCATATATATTATTTATATATATTTTATATATATTTATATAATATTATAGAAATTATAATTATATAATAATATATAGTATATAATATATTAATAAAATAAATATTTTTTTTTATTTTATTATACTAATTTATTTAATTATTGTATATATAAGCAATTGTATACACAAAATTCATATAAATTAAAATTATAAGTTTTTTTGTCAATTTTTTTTAAATAAAGAGCTTTGGCCCAATGCATGATCCAATCTAGCCCAAGGCTCGGCCCACGGGCCTAGACCATGAACCATACTGGGCCGACCCCCAAAATTTTCACCAAGAAAGGCACCACGGTCCGTAACGGCCTATAGACCAGCATGGCATGGCCCGCACAAAATGCGGGCCACCTGCAGGCCATGTCGTGCTGGCCCGGCACGACCCAGTTTACACCTTCTCTAGATGTGCTCTCTCCTGATATTTAGATCTAGTGCAGTGGCCCTACCAAGAAGTCACTTTCATGTAATGCAAGGTGGGGTTAGGCTATGCCACTGTCATAGAAAATTTGAGTTGCGGGAAACTTCCCTCGTCTTTTCAGTTAAGGTTGGAGCATAAACAGATGGAATTCACATCAGCGCCCCATATGTACATCTCAGATATCTCCTATATTGATTATTGGGAGATGTACTCAATACATGGTTGGAATGTGCTGTGGGGTGCTGATATGATCTCTTTCCCATTCCGGATTTCCTGCCCACAACTCCCACACTCTACCGCCTTGAATTGCAGCCATACATCACCGTTTTGTATCATGAGATGTGCGGCTGCAATGTATATAGACATGAGTAGAGAAAGTGAGCAGGAAATCTGGGTTGGCTTTTAATTTGAGTGCTGATAATTAACAAAACGGGATTTTCTACTCACCTTTCCCACCCACTCTCTAGTCGAAGTGAATTGCAGCTAGCCAAGCATCTCTGTTTCCTAGCAGTTTTCTAGCTCTGCGTACGCCTCACCTGGTTCTGCCAGATTAATTGCTCCGCCCAATAAGTCTGAGACGTACTCCAGCACTGATTCTGGGGGGCAATGGCCAAAGAACCCACCGCACTCAGATCGAAGCACAAATTAGTTAAATCCCAGCCTTGCCTTCATCTGAATTGAAACACCCAAATTCTTACGACTTCTGTACGTATAGAAGTATTAATGTATGTCTCTATCTTCAATTCTTCATTTTTGCCTTTTTGGTGGTGTTTGTGTTCCTTTTTATCACACAAATGATTCATATATACTGGTGTCGTGTTTCGTCTGTTATTAATTAATTAATTCCAATTAAGAACCTTTTGGAATTAGGAAAAATGAATAATTTTATTAGGTATTAGAAAATCAGAAAAACTGATACGACGACTTGAAATCATCGTAAAAAAAAAAAAAAAAAAGAAAAACATTACAAAAAACGCCATGAAAAAGGCGACTCGTAAATTAGCAAGAACGCATGAACTCTCTGGTCTTGGACATAGTGATGAGAGCCCTTCTGGGATCGACGAGATCGATGCCATGGAAACCAATATCATCGAATTGAGCATCAACTTGCAGGCCACGTTCCAATAGTATCTCAACCAAATACTTCTGCCTATCGCTGCTAACATCCCCTCTGAAGCCCCTCACCAGGCACTTAGGCAACATTTCAATCTTATCAGTGTAGACCCCTCTCACCATGGGATTTGAGAACTCGTGGTCTCGATCAGCTCCGACCGGCAGTATGGACTCCCAGTATTCATCCGTGGTGGACAGAGGTAAGATCATGTCGTCGGCGTATTTCAGCTCTGATTTAGTCCTCTCCATCCCACCGAACACCGGCTGGCTCAATATCAACCCACGGAACTTCAATGGTTCAATGTCTAGCCCCAAGATATGCAACAAGGAATACATCGCGATGTTGCCACCGCTGCTCCACCCCACGAAGAAACACCGAGAGAAGTCACCAAATTCCCTCAACAACACCTCACCTTGCGGGTCCAATGCCTGCTGCTTCAACCACATCACTATTTCCTCTGCCTCATAGAAGGCAGTAGGGAGTCGGTGCTCTGAATCCAGATGGTAATTAACGCTTAGAACTATTGTAGGAATCCAGGTTGCAGCTTTCTTGCAAATTTCTTCACGGAACACGGAGGATGATTCTTTAAGGATGAGTCCGCCATGGAAGTAAATCTGAATGGGATATCGCAAACTCCTGTGGCAATCACCAGTACATGTTAATGATGTTATTGCGGGTGGTAAGTACATGCGGACGGAGATATCCTTCTCCTCGTTGATGATGATGTCTTTGGTGATCACAATTGGTTCCATTTCCAGAGTGATTGTCGGTCCAAGCCCCAAGGAAATGGGTAGCCTTATTGATTGCCTGTAGTAGTGTCGTCTACTTGCGTTGCCAGAGAGTGGGAGATCGAGAGAGTCAGAGAGACAAACAGGATCGTGATATTTTAACTCACGTACGTACGTAGCAGATTGCCGCCTCTCTACTCTCGTCGCCGATGACCTCCACCGTGCAGTAGTAGTGCAGTACTGATCAGGATGGCGGGCATACCAAGCAAGCTGGGTCCTCAGCTATTTATACTATGATTGCTCCCTAAAACCTGGGGCCTCCACAGAATTCGTTACGATTTTAAGGACAGATTTGATGGATTGACTACGATACAATCCTTCTCCTCCTATTAACCTCAAATTAGAGATGGAGTTTTCTCCACAACAAAACTAAGGATACGGAGGCCTTCACGCCACCCCACTACTCTAAATATAGACATACTTTGTGTGGTGCAACATTGGGAGGTTTCTTTACTTTTCTTTTCTTTTTTTTTTTCTTTTTTTTTCAAAAGTCAAAACTACTGCCAGCATGGGAGGTTTTTATATTTTGCCCTAATTTTTAACCATCTTTTCACCGGATTTCTACCAAAAGTGACAATTGAACCCTTACAACACAAATTTGATAAGGGGCTTTGAAAAAGATTTGATGTGCAGTTTTTCATGACCATGAAAGATTTTAAGGAAAAGTCATAAAATATCATTCATGAATACACTACTTTTGTGAATCTTAACCAATCAGCAAACCCCTATGAACCTATACCATATCTATTATCTACCACCCATTAATAAAAATGAGAATGCTTCATTGGTTATCGTCAAAAGACCCATTGGTTATCGTCAAAAGACCCTGTTTCCACTTTTACCCTTTTTATCAAAATATATAGGAAAAATTTGGCTATTTCTTTTGGACACTAGTTTTATATATATACTATATACTATACTAGTAATGAATAACATGCGTTGCACGTAAGAATTTTTTTTTCATATTAATTACTTTAATTTTAGATATATCATAGTTAAGATAGAAATTGAAAATTAAAAAAAAGTAACAATATGATTAAAAATAAACTTAAATATTTATTATTCAATTATGACATCATGCATTTTTTTTTGAAAAGTTAGACATTGACCCACCATCTAGATAAGAAATAGCATTGCTTTTGGATTAGTTTTAAATTAGGAAAATTATAGTCGGAGCCGGCTATACATTTAAAATTTGGTTACAAGTTGGTCCATAAACCAACAAAACTCTAACAAACGACTCTACATTTCAAGTTATAAAAATTCTCACCATGTCATCAGAGGGTTATGTGGCTATTGCCAACATGGGACTCTTAATCCATATTGGATATAATAAAAAGCTTATACTGAAATTGCCCTGGGTGATTAGAAAATAAAAAAGGGTTTTTAATTTCTCTCTCTCTCTTAATCTCCCTCATAGTCATCTTTATCTGCTCAATGACTATGTGATTTGAAAATAAATAAAAATGGTTTTCAGTTTTCTGTATTTACGTTATCTATATCGATTTCTCTCATTCTCTCTCTCTCTACATATCGTTCTCCCTCAATCTCTCTCATTCTCTTTCTTGGTCAATCTCTCATTCTCTCTTAATTTCCATCATTCTCCCTCAGTTTCTCTCCTTCTCCCTCTCTCGTTTTTTTTTTATTTTCTTATTTTCTTACACACTTATATGGTATTAATTAGATCGTATAAAAGAACATGAGACCAACTTGGTATGATTMAAAAATTATTACACCAATTTGATAAAATTCACAAGAAACTCTTGGTTATGAAATTTACACCAATTGGAGAATGAACATGAGACCAACTTGGTATGATTCAAAAATTATTACACCAATTTGATAAAATTCACAAGAAACTCTTGGTTATGAAATTTACACCAATTGGAGAATGATAGAGATTGAGGGTTTTGACCGAGAAGGAGAGTAAGGGAGAAGAATGAGAAAGATTGAGGGAGAACAATAAAGAGAAGTTTTGATTTGGCTACAGACCAAAGCAGAGAGAGTGGAGAGACAGAGGGAGAGGGAGATCAAGAGATGACTGTGAGAATGAAAGAGAAGGGAGGGAAATCGAGAGACTGAGGGAATGGGAAAAAAGCTGAAAACCTATTTTTGATATAGGTTTTTTGCTATGTCCAACATGGAATAAGAGTCCCATGTTGGCAACAGCCACATAAGCCTCTGATGACATGGTAGGGGTTTTTATAATTTAAAATGTAGAGCTAGTTTTCAGAGTTTGGTTGGTTTTTGGACCAACCTGCAACCTAATTTTAAATGTACAACTGACTTTGACTATAATTTTTTCTTTAAATTATATATT